CAAACGTACTTCTGTTGTTAAATGAGTCTATGATGATGAAACTAGAGTATTTTGAAGACGTTATTTACGAAGCTATTGAAATAAACAATTTATTACAGAAGAAAATGCAAAGAGTTGAAAGGAATCAATTAAGATTCCTGTCATCGATTTTTATTCTTTTTTGTTATTTAATAGGTATATTTTTTTTTAGAGGTGGTAGAGCCTAGCTGTAGAGTTACTACAGCTCGAACATGGGCTGGCTCGACCGGGGAAGTACCACCCTCTCACAGAAGATCGGCGTGAAGTAGCCTTTATTGGCTGCGTTTCGTCTGATGAGTGAGAGAGCCGGTTGCCCGTTCCCCATTCCTACCCTTTCCTTTCATTTCCTTATTCCCACCCCTCCCTATCCCCAAAAGGTTGGCAACGCATCCGCAACAAAATGTTGCGGATGTCCATGGGCGCCGGTATCCACCTTCCATCAAGTGGGCCGTCAGCTCGTTTGCCACCTTTCACATAAAAAAAAAAAATTTATTATACAACTTGTTGATACACAATATTAAGCAACTGTAATTTGATCTATATTAGTAGGAAAACTCGAAAGTAAATTTGTAGTGAATCGAAATATCAATAAGAAAAATGTTTTCAATTTGATTTAATTTGTCTTTGCGTGTGTGTGTGTGTGTTTTTTATATGGTTTTTTGTAGAGCAGATGTAATTTTCATTTAAAAAGTGAAGTTTATATTTCTATGACAATGAAAATTCACGGCTTATTTTCTTGAATTATTTAACAAAAATATTATGGTTATTAAAGAAGTAAAGATGCAAAATTAAGCTCATTGTAAATTTATATTAAACATATGATTTGTAGGAAATTGAGAAATGAAAATAAAGGATTTAGAAATATCACAACATTAAAATAACATAAATACATAGAAAGATACTTTACAAAATGAATGTGTGTTCTGTTGTGTTCAACGAAAGTTGCTGGGAGTTTAGATACACGAAGAGTGAGTAAAGTAAAAAGAGAATTCTTTTCAGTAACAACAAACCTTTAAATGAACAATCAAAATAAAAGTACTATCAAAGATTTTGTTCATATAATCAAATTTATATAAGAATTGTGAAACACATCTCCGTGTTCATGTTTTGAATAGATTTGCTGTAACTAAATCATATTAAATTATAGTGTCTACAGACATATCAATTGTTCAGAATTTTCTATTATGAATAACTGCTTCAGATCAACATTTCCTTTGTTATTTATTTAAAGTTTGTGATGGAAATATCTCTACCCTATGTCTCGTCTACCAAGAAATCTATCAATATATTAAAGTGTATCTTAACCATAATCAAAACTGATAGGATTGGTAATTTAATTCATGATTTAAAAGATCAAGGTACTATTTTAATTATGAATTTAATTAAAATATATGAATTCACAAGTATTATTTTCCAAGCGTTGTTTTTCCAATTTATGAGCGAATAAAGAAAGCTGGATCAAGATTATTGATGACCATCTGTCAGCGAAGATTCTTTGGTGCTTAAGAATTCTTATACAGTAGCTTTAAGTTCTCTTTTAATTGTTTTCTTGTTTACTTTTACTTGGCGAAGTTCTTTATACTTGTGTTGTAACTTGGAGAAAGTTTAAGTATGATTGCTGACTCGAGTATACGGACCGAGTTGTACACTTAACTTGAGAGTAACTAAATATAGTTTATTTCCTCATAAACGGATCTTTTTAATGGAACATAAATTTTTTAAAGCCATTGTTTATAAACAGATTATTTCACTAGCATTTGTGTACTGCTTGAAAACGTCTCATAATCTTTTGTCTTTGATGCGTTTATCATCTGACCCAGTGAGAGACGTTTATATTGCTTGCAACCGTATATAAATTTCACCTATTAAATAAGTCTAGGCGCTTTCCTAAATAATAGTCAATCAATATCTCAATGACGGGCAGTCAATTCATTAAAGGCTCACTGGATTAAAGTTCAAATTGACGCATAGATAGTTAACAACAGTGTAACAAAGAGGAGAAAGATTTGTCCTACTCCCATAAAGTCGATAATATCATGAATTAAAGTTGAATCTGTGTTAAAATCTCTATGCAAAAAAAGAATAAAATTAAATATAGAAATAAAATATCGCAAGATTTAACATTTGATTAATTCAGACAATTTTGTTTGAGTATATGTTTTAAGAATAATCAAATAACATTTATTAATAATAATATATTTAATAAAACATTGTTTCATTACTATAGGTAAGTTTGTTTTTGCGTTAAATGCAAGCACTTGCCAATTACCTTTAAGTCTCCGAAGGGATGTAAGCTCCCTTTGTGTATTCTATCGTCTGTACAATGGGGAATGTTCCGAGGAACTGTTTGATGTAGTGCCATCTTCTACATTCCACCATCGCACTACTCGGCGTAGGGTCGGATTTCATCCACATCACCTGGATGCATTCAATTGCAAGACTGTACGTGCGTCGCGTTCATTCTTACCACGCACGTGCAGGATGTGGAATGATCTTCCACCCGAGGCTTTTCCAGAGAGCTACAACATGGGGTCTTTTAAAAAGCAAGTGTTCAGGTGGCTCTTTTTCAAACAAGGCCGGCAACGCATCAACAACACCCCTTGTGTTGCAGATGTCCATGGGCGACGGTAACTACTTACCATCAGGTAGGCCGTCTGCTCGCTTGCCCCTTAGGGCCATAAAAAAAAAATTGATGTTTTCATGGGCAGTTGTTACTCTGTCAATATTAAACAATTGTTGGCACTTTTTGCATAAATTATTTTTTAGAGTGCTGTTAAATAATTTGATACTTTGAAGTTGAATGCAATATAACGTCATCGCGAGAAAATAGTTTTAAAAATATATATATATAATACCAAGACAAGAATTGAATACGACATTGTATATTATACAAGCTTACGAGGTTAATCTGCGTAGATATTGTCATTAGTTTGAAGACACATGACTATGTTCCTAGATATATTTACTTCACTTTACTTACTTAAATTTTAACCAAAATTGTATGCAATCAAAATGACATACGAGTATTAACATAGTATTATTATTGAATCAAAATTCACTGTAATTGATTGTTAAATCGTAATTATCATTTTTGTTACAAGAATATACCAAGTCTATACTTTTTTTCATTAAATGAAAAGACATCACGATTATGTAAAAATAAAAGGCAATACATTTAACATTGTAAGTAAAGGAATGGTTTTAAAGATACAAATGTTCGGCTAGAACATCTAGGGAGCAATCATGCCGCATGATACATTTAGGTCACGTAGCCAACCAATGGCATGTTGAAAAGAAAAGGACAAATAAAATATTCTAACAAAATATCCTACATCTCTTTATCTATAGGCATATACAATACAACACATTTTCAATTAATTATTATGTACAAAAACATATTACATATATAAATTTATTTATAGTGTTGATTTATGTACTGCATTGTTATATAATTATTTAATTCTAGAATATTTACTATTTTGTTGAAATACAATATGAAATAGCAATTTTAGTATATATATATAAGTATTAAAATACTTTTTGTGAAGATGCATCTAAGTTTTCCATTAAATTTTACAAGTCACTTGAGTTGGAAAGCAAAGTACCTTTAACTTGCAGTTAAGACTGTTTTTAAGAAAAAGGAATAAATATTTTTTTTTATGTTTATTTCTTATACACATATAGTAGTTATGCAGCTAATTATTCATAGTTTAGTTTCATAGTATAGTTGAGGCTCACAAATATTGAGTTATGTTCTTTTTCGTAAATAAGAATAAGTAAATTATTTTTCAAAACTAAGAATAAAGATCCGATTTGAATTATCTTTATATTACGACATCAAATAAATAAGAAATACAACAAAAAAAATTTGATCACAGTTATTAGATGTTGAAATTTATTTAATCTTGATAATAATTATAACAGAGACCATCTTTTAATTTAAAACACTTAATATTTTGCAGGAGAGAGTCCTGGCCGCAGTTTATACTGTAGCTTCACTTACATTACCGAGTCCTTTGTTCGAACGAAAGAGGCTTTGCTTAACAAAGAGAATGTGATATTATTATAGTAAATAAGCTTCTTGTATCAAAGTTTTCTGTGCTTGTGAACGTTACTATCGCTGATTTATTCTATTAACATTATTATTGTATCATATACAATTGACAGACAAGCAATTTATTATTACTTATGATATTTAAAAGTATTTTTAAAGTGTATTTATTATAGTCATGTAGTTTTTTCTTGAAATATTCTTAGTATCTTTTGGTACCTTTATTGTCATAATATTTTTGCGGAGTTAAATATTTTTGAATTGTTGTTTCATTAAAGTTGTTTTATATGACCACAATTTGTATGTAATATTACTTTTAACGTCTAAATATCTTTGTTTTAGAAAAATATAGAAGAAGGATGAAATTAAATAAATGGAATAACTTTCATAGAATTATTACTGCATACAAAAATTTTATGAATCTCGTGTACTGCTTTAAAGAAACACTGGAAGAGGCTGTGCATTCGCCGCATAAGTTTAAGAAACTTAGGATTTTTTGAAAACTTGGTTGCATATTCGTGATTACTTATCATATCTCTGTGCTTGTCTATGTGTGTATACATATGTGTGTTAAGCTTCTGTAATATCATACTGTGTATTTTTATAATGTTTTAAAGCCACAAATAACGATAATCTACTTAAAAATATTATCTACTTGGATCGTGCTTGGTTAACCTCACGAAATAGGTTACAAAACATTGCCATTATATCAATAATAAAGTACCTATACGTGAGATAAAATTCTAACAATGGAATGTTTTAATAATACAAAGGGCTGCTTCAAACTTATTTAACATCATTAATGAAGTAACTATTCAGTGTAGACGGTATTCTGCAATATAAAATTATGTTATTCTTCAAATTAATGTCTAAGATAATTATCGTTGTTATATTCGTACTTCCAATGAATTTGTGCAATGTAACCTTAAAGATGACTACACCAGTAACAACTGTGGAGGTAATTGTAAAAGATGAGCGACGTCTCCTGGCGATTTGTCCTCAATTTAAAAATGTAGGTGAAATAAATCTGGACGGAATGGTGGGCGTGTGGCGGCCTGTTTATTATCAAGTAACTTACAACGTGCCTTGCTACGATATGCTCATAAGAAAACTTACTTCCAAGGTGAGTATTCAAGAAAAATTGCATGTAGCTAAATTAAACTAATATTTTTCGGATGTACTACGTGATTTTTATTTTACATAACCAGCAACCGTGGTCATGGGCAGACGAAATGATCACGGTTGCTGTAAAGTAGCCGAAACGTCGAAAGTATTTAGTTTATATCAAAAATAAAAATCTCGTAGTACATCCGAAAAATATTTGTTTTATTTAAATGAATACTCGCGGAAATCTTAAATCTCATTCTGCATGTAGATAATCAATTTGTTTGTTATTAACGTCACTCGGCTAAATTTATAAGGAGTTAGGATTTGATTTTTCTTTAAAATTATAATATTTTTCAGGAGAAAAATCAAAATAATGAAAAGTTTGGTGACTTCAACGAAACAGTCATATGGGATGATTGCAATCTTGAAATAAAATCGAGGGATTCTTCTCGGAAGCATTTTTTGCAAGGATGTCGTAAAGGTTTAGGTGTTCTAGAGAATATAGTCGTCGATTTAAAAGGTTTCATAATTTTTGTTTATTTATTAGGAAAATGAGTTATTATAAAATCGTTCACAATGAAGAGGATGTACTTAAAATAATAAAAAAGTTCTTAAGTTGTCGTTCAAATAATATATATTTTTTTGCCTCCATGTATAATGCTTTTTGTGATCGTTAAATCAAAAAATTATAGATAACACACCTCTGTTATACGACAGGATCATAAAATTGCACTAAAACCGGTGTCCCATAAATTTTATAGTTGAATCAAAGCCAAGCTAAAAATGTGTAAAAGTTTTATAACCATTTTAATGTTTGAAAACTGACAGTAGGAAAATTATACTTAGTAGTCAATTAGCAGTTAGTGTTCACTCTTACTGAGTAAGAGTTGTTTCATTTGATTTAATACTGAATTTTGAAAGTACTTCAATTAGTAAAACATAATTCCACAATCAATTTTTTTATAGATAGCACTCCCACCCTTATCGATGAGACGGCAGATCAGTGGCTTGTGATGGAAAATCTGCTCCTCATGAAAGATTGTGTGTCTGGGAAAATTGTTATCTTCTCCAGAAATTCTTACCAGCCCAAACTTCATGAGGTGAAGAAAGCTATCAAAGGATTTGGAACTATCAGTGAAGGTGATTGGGCTTGTCGTGACACTAAGAGAACAGGAAAACCTGAAGCCTTTGATGGTGAATATGAGTCTGATAGTGATGTCATATTTTTTGAATGAATATTTTATACTTTTCTATCTATATTAGTAAAGATATTTAAGCTAAGATATTAAGCTTGAAATTCATTGTTTCTCTTTTTAGAATTTAGAATTAGAGCTTATAATATCAATACGTACATATACGTAAGATGAAATATAAATCAAAATAATTTCGTAATCTTTCCTTTATGTTATATTATAATTTTCTGAAAAAAAATATTCCATTTAAAAGCTTAAGCATAGACTAAAGATACGAAATAAGAGTTAAGGTATTACAAAGTAAAAATCATTTTAAATCCTTCGAATTATATACATTTGTAGTTATTTCATTTTTTAATAAAATGACTATGATAATAATTAATGTGTTTTTTATTGTGAATAAAAGTTGTTTTTCGTTTCTATAGATTAGTAGTAAAAATATTATAGATTAAGAAATTCCACTTATGTATATTAAAATAAGGTAGATCTCGAATAAAGACGTTCCGTCAATATCCATATAATATACCTACATAAGTGTAGTGTGTAACTAAGAAATTAATTCCATGCAAATTTAATATATTTGTTGCTTCTAATATGACCGAAGATTTTAATTATGACAATTATGTGTTATAAGGAAGTTTCCTCTTGATTATTTCTCACTATGAAGCGTTGGTGGTTAAGAAAATTGTACGTTTGGGAATAAAATGCAGGAGAGCGTTTGTTTTGTCTGTTTTAACAGAACAAATGTAGCGATCATTACTGTTTCTCCAACCTTTGTACAATTATTACTCGAGCATAAAACTTGTGTTTTGTTTTGTATTTGTGTAGGTTTTTATTCGTCAAATTAGTTTTTAAACTATTAAGACATGCGATGAAATATTTATTGATTATTATTATTTACCGAAACATAAATTGATCCATTTTAGATATCATGACAATACAATATGTGTACAATAACCTACGGCATTTTTTTTTACTTATATTAAACATTTTGAATAGATGCAACAAAGTGATTACAATTTTAATCGTGTCTTTGATACTAAGAAAAAAATATCACTGTAATTCTTATACCAATAAATAATTAACTTAAGCTATTAAAATACTTTGACTTAGAATTTTAAAAAAATCAATGACTTTGATTAAAAGTTAGTTTCAATTAACTGAAAACTTTCACAAACTTCTGATGAGAACCGTTTGTAAAGGTAAGTTAGAAGAAATATATTAGATGTCGACATGAAAAACATTATTGAACGTTAAACTTAGTTACCCAACCTAAAAAAGAAAGTGTATTACGGCTATAACAAATAAAAGATGAATTTTATAAGATCTAAGACTTTCGCTAATATTGATTTAAATGAAACTAATATTTTCGGATTATTACGCGTATTTAATTATTTTTCAAACTACATATTTCTGACGTCCCGACGTTTCGGGAGAAAATTAATTCAACATTCGCTTAGTCATCCGAATATATTAGTTTCATTTAAAATATGAATGTAACAAAGTTCGGAGTTTTATTACTATTGATGTTGTTATATTAAAAATATTTCTGCGTTTTTTATATTTTTTTTATAGTTATGGATAATTCAAGAAAAACATTATAATGGAGTTAGAAACAAAATATATCGATTGGTTTAGGTTCGAAACTAGCACCTATTATAAATATGTTCTATTTCTGTCAGACATTTTCTCCCTTTCACCACGATATGAAGAAATTAAGAAGACGTAGATACCTTATCTTAAAAACATTTTATTATTAGAGTGACAGAAAGAAAATTGAAAAAGTACCAGTCATAGACGAAAAATGATAAAGATGTAATTTCAACTATATATGTGTGTTTATATATACCATTTGTTCTTTTATTTAATTGACTTGTTAAATAATATGAAATTGTATGATTTCGTTCACGAGGATAAGCAAATCTCCGGTGACATAAAATACAAAGTGCTGTACAATCGTTACCATCTAATATACTACAATAAAACATAAATATTCAAGATTGAAGAGAATTTAAAATATCTAAAAATAACCTAATTGTAACACCAATAGTTTGAAAATTAGTTAAAGCTTTCAAATAAAATAAAACATCTAATTAAATATGTATCAAAATTTTTAAGAGATCAACAAATCTTTATTAAACGTCAAATTTGTTACTCTACAAAATCACACACAACCATAAATAGCTTAAAATTAACTTAAAAATATCGTTTTAAGAGATTAAAGCATAGCAATATTTATGCAATTAATTTGACGTTGAGAACAAACAAGCCTGAATCATGAAATAAAACAAGGTTAAAACAAATTAGTTGTTCAAGCAAAGTCAAGGAATGTTAAAATACAGACATTAATGTTGTTGAAAGTAACGTCAGACTGTTAGAATAATAATTAATTTGTTGCTTCCGTTATTAAAAAGTCTATGGTATATACTTTTTGTAGTCACAATTTACTTTACTTATAGTGGTCTAGAATAGAGGAGAAAACTATTAAAACAGGTGTAATTTGTTATTGAAAGTGCCACTGAAACCATCAAACATGTCACTTGCTTGAAACGTTCGGGAAGTGTACTTAATCTACTTAGCTTGGAGGTAACACGCTGCCTTAAATCTTGTCAATCTTGTGAGTCTATAGGCTAAGAGAATTAATTTTAATGTTAAACACTAAAAGCAAGATAAAATATATCATATTATAATAAGGTTTACGTTCTTAATGTTACAGGGACATGAGAGAAACTGTTTGCTACTTTTGTAAGGAACAAAAATAATCAGAATAAGTTAATTTTGTACAAAAAAATCATCTCATTAATGGTTACAATTTCAAATTTAACAAAACTGTATTAACAACGTATCTTTGCATTAAAATTGCATTATTTTGTAGTCACGTATTCGACTTATTTGTTCAGCGGTAATAGTGTTGAGAAGTAGACTAGAAAGAATTGTATGTATTTAAAATTTATGAACTAAAAATATATTTCTTTCATAATACATTTTGATGACATTTCTCTTTATAATAGAAAAAAGTTTGAACTTTTTACACTATTTGACCTTGAGGTCATATACAGATTCGCTCACATATATCTATATCAGAACGAATGCTTTTTATTTACGTTACTACTAATTATGGAGAGTTAAAATTATTAGGTGTCATCTGCATAACTTGTGCAAGTGTAGATGCAACAATTAGTGTTGATTACAATAAAAAGGGAGTACAGAATAAAAACAGTTTCTTGTCTCGCTCGAGCCAATAAAAGATCATCAAGAGAAAATAGAAGATTGGTTAAACCATCTACGAGGTATCTTCAACAGCTTGAGATCTTGACCGCAGTCGATAAAAATGGCATTGGTGACGTTAGTTATGCTGACGAAACTCTTTTTAAATACAAACTCTATTAAAATAGCAGCAAATAAGTTTTATAAATCGTTTAAAAAGTTAAGCATTTCAAGCCGTAAAAATACATATATCAAACTTTCTTCTTATTTTGCCAACTTTCCAAAACTTCGCATTAAGTCCAAAATATACATGAAAATATGAAATACTCAACTAATTAGATTAAAATGATGTACATTGCATATTCTTCTAATAAAAATGCTTGTAATAAAATGTTTATTTGATTAATAAATTAATTGTACATTAAGCAATAAGCTAAATGACTGAAATAACTGCTTTGTGTTAGCAGTAGAGCATTCTTGTTAAATTGCTTGTACAAAGTATAGTTGTCGAAACGTTTGTGAATTTTTCACATTTAGGTCACGTAGAAGACCGTCGGCGTCTTGATAATATATATCTTCAATATTTTAAGAAACAGCTTCTTCACAATGGCTTACAATATAGATTTGGGAAGCGATGTATTGAATAACAGTCACAATCTAATTTTTATTCAAAAAAATAACATCCCTAAAACTATAAATACATGGAGTTATTTTTTTCTACTTTTTGCTTTATTTGTGTGATAAAGATTTAAATAAATATAATAATATGTGGGATAGTATGTGGATATGATTTTAAAGTTTTAAATTTACTGTTTTCATTAAATTTTTAGTATATCTATTGGGACTTATAATAAATATAGTGCATACTGAAAATTATTTCTTCATTGTTGCTCCTCCTGTCAATAACTTCTTATATGAGGCAAGTGTCTGCTGTTAGCGAGAAAACACAAATACATGTGTATAAATGCACTCACATGCTTTTTTATGTAAAAATAATATCTTTTATATATCATTTTTATCCATAATTTGTATTATTTTATAAAATATTTTCTGCTTTTATTGAAACTATAATGTATTTCTATACAGAACAGTTTATATTTACGTAGTAAAATTCAAAATATCCTTGAAAGTTCTTAATAAATAAATTTTACGTGAGTCTTTTGACTTGGTCGTTTTATTATTGGTTTATTTTCAACAACTTGTCTGGAGATAAAAGTTATTGCTTGACTAAGTCGTTGCACGTTTGAGATGAGAATACATGAAAACTGTATGCAATAATTAATTTATTCTTTTCTTTTCTTTTAATGAAATATATATAAATACGTCAGCCACATGATAAGATATTCGAGAAAATCACGATGTATTTCAATATAATTATATAAAAAACAATTCTGTTTCAATATTTATAATATAAAATAACATTCTTTTTAGTGTTAACGTTTGCCAGATATTAAAATTATAAAAGTATAATAAACATTGTGTAGTGCTAATTATGTAGGCTGGCAACCGGAAGTTACAGGCAAACTACGAAATATACTTATAGTAAGAATTACATATTTAAACTTATTACCTTTACTTAACACATGATTGCCCCTATGTTAGGATAGCAATGCCATTCCATTACTTGTGTGGTATCAGAAATCTTCTGGTTCACATAGCTTGGAGTTCGTTCCATGGAGTCAGCAGCGTCATTCGTTACATGATATTTTATCCATACAACGATGTTGCTCCGGCGATGTTCATTTATTCTTTAATATGTAGCACGTACGTAAAATTGGTAGAGCCTTTAGGTGGTAGAGCCTAGCTGTATTTTGGTTACTATAGCTCGAACATGG